GGTACCCATCCCTACAGAGGACCTTTTCAATCAGATGACAACCAAAGATCCAGATTGACAATTTATTTAGAATAAAAGCCTAAAAACAACAAAGGCATTAAATGACAAATAATAAACTAGCTGTCACAGAGTATTTTGTGTCCATAGCTGAACCTCCATGGATACGCCATGCACTGTGTATCTGAAACATAATACCAGCAAAATCACTTCTAATGACGCCTCTGATAGAAGATGCCGCTAATATATATGATAAGAGAGAAACACCCTCATCAATAATCCGGTGTGAGAGTGTAACATTAATCTGAATCTCTGTAATATAAATCATATAAAACCTTTTACTGAATCAGGTTTTATTTATGTGTGTGTTGCGGGATTATAGCCCAGAGCCACTCCAGGTTACGGTCAAGCATTCAATAACATTTTTTTCGTCGTCAAATAAAAAGTGATTTGAATGATAGACTGTATATGAAAGGTGGAAGCAGCCTTTAGTTATGAAAAGTAAAGCCTTAAATTTTCTTATTAATGATCAGCTGGAGGAAAATGCTCAAAAGAAGTCTGATTGTATAGAAGTGTATGAAAAAAATGACAGAACCTTTTACTTGACTTATGACCTCAATAAACATTTTCCTCAGACATTTGTGATCTCAGTCACCAGTTTTGGGTCTTACTGAACTAAACGTTAAAGTTCACTTTGTAAATTATTATTCCAGTTAGAGTGAAATCTATGATAAAGCAGGGGATGATTTAAGGTGTGGCTACTTTGGTCCCTTTGCTTTTTGCACGCTTCATCCATGACATTTAGTTGCAAAACACCAAGATGGTTTTGCCAAAGTGACTCATAATCAAGATTCAGTGCAGAGTCACTGATGTCATGCCACTTGGGACAAAATGCAGATCCTTGTCTTTCCCTTCCACTGAAATTCAACATCGCTTCACACGGGATGAATCGCACACCAAACTCCATGCCGATGTTTCCGTAACAAAGATTCAGCAAAGACTATTTTTTATTCTGCTGGTTTATCTGTTTGGTGTATCCCCTTAGTGTAGTAGGTCTCTGTGTTTAGTCCACGTCTCTGAGTTCAATTCAATTCAATTCAATTCAATTCAATTTTATTTATATAGCGCCAAATCACAACAAATGTCGCCTCAAGGCGCTTCATAGATACAGAGAAAA